AAAAAAAAAAAAAAAAAAAAAAAAATAAACACATCTTAGTAAAACCAATACCTTCTCAGCTTCGCATCGAAGCTAAAAAAGTCAATGTGATATATTGATACAAGCTATACTTTAAGTCCATGTTGAAAAATTTAAATTAGTGTTATTATCTTATTAAAGATTGATTTATTTTATAAAAATTTAAGTTAAATTTTATTGTAAATTTCAATTTTATACAAGATTATTGGTATTATTCTATTCTTGAACATTTAGTTTCAAGTTATTTATTATAAAATTTATCAATTAAATAATAAAAATTATTGATTTACTTGTCTAGTTGATAATAATTGTTGTTGAAGATAATTGATTTGTACATCTTTTTGATCAGAAGTCTGTAGACTAGATTTCATCATGCTAATTTCATTTTTGTAAGCTTCCAGCTCACATTTTAAATGATCATTTTCATCCTTGACATCAAAAACATGTTAAATTTAACTTTTTAATTTATTGACTAGTATAATATACTAGTAAATGAGTTAAACAATTTTATTAGTTTATTGATCATGTGTCAATAAATGTTCAGCCACAGGAGATTTATAAATTTTTTGATTATTTTTGTTATTAAACTTGACCCCTATGTTTCTTTTTGTTTGTAAAATTTATTACATTTTTCACATAATATTTTATAAATGCTCAATTTTTCCCTTCTATCTCTATTTTTATTTTTAAAGTTACCTAATAAATTTCTGAAATTATTGCTCTTACACCTTGTTAGATTTTACTACAATAATAAAATTATTAAAAATTCTAGCTAACCCAATTGAAATGCCCCTATAATATAAAATGTGCAAACTAATTACTTTTTGTTTCACTATGCTAGTGAATTATTAGCTACCCACCTTTCTATATTCCACTATTGTGTTCAGACTAATTTTGAAATTATGTTTTCGACATACCCATTAAATCTATTTCTTTTGTAACTCCCAATTCTTTATCAAAATCTATTATATTTATCGTAGTAATAACTAATTTGTAAATTATACTATCAAAAGGTGCATTTTGAATTGCCAGCTATGGTACAAATTGAAATAATTTAAGATAATTTATCTTTTTTTTTTTTCGTATTACATACTTTTCAAATAATCAGTGTAAATCTCATACTTGTGCAATTTCAGTAAAAAATATTTTACTAATGCGTTAATTTAAATTTAGTGTATTAACTTAAGATCACTTTGAAATATAATATTATTATTAAGAATTAATTACCTGCAATTGAATGGGATCAGATTTACTTTTTGACTTCTTAGTATTACTTTCATCATCTGAAAGATCCATCTCATCTCCCCCAATCATTTCATCTTCATCGTCAATACCCAATTTAGATAGTGCCTAAATATTAAAATAAAAATTACCTATGAATTTTTTATGTTAAAAATTATGTTTTTTAAAATTGATAAGTTATTTATACACGACATAATAAGTGACATATGTGTATAGTTTTATTTGTCTAAAGAGACTGATAAATTACATTTTACGCGCAATTTATAAAATATATCAAATAAATAAAAAAAAAAAAAACTTAATGTTAGAAAATAAAATAGTACTTCACCTACCTATATTAATCGTCAAAATATATACCTGTTAAATGTATTTTGGAGAATTTGACATGCAATAATTTAAAATTTATGTAAAATATATATTAAGTATTACATTATTGTTTTATTACTATAACATATAAAAAAACGAATTATAAATAAACATAATAAAAAAATTTTAACTAACAAGAATGTGTAAATATTTTAAGTGGTGTAAATAAAGCAGCAATACTTTCAAATTTTTTCTACAGCAAATATATATATTTTCATAACACATCAAATATACAACTTTATTATCTAATTATTTTTAAAAATTAGTAAAACTTTAAATGGTATTAAGGAAATAGCAACTATTAAGCTAAGCGATGACTTTTTTTCAGTTAGCAATAACCTACCATTGCCTGTTTCTTCCAGGTTTCAATGTTCTTTCTCTGCGCCTTTGTGAAATGATCCCAAACTTTCTTGTGTGATGCAGAAGTAAACACTTTCTCGATCTGGGTGACTTTATACAAGGACAATAATACAGGCGGTTAACATTTTAAGAAAAAGACAGAAAAAAAATCCCCTCAAACAGGACTTTTCTTGAAAAATTAATAATCATACTCTTTACTCAAGTGAAAAAAATCCCTTATTTAATATTTAAAAAAATATGTGATATTTTAAATGAAAATTATAAAACAAGGAGTTTTTTTTACTATTTCTAGTTAATTAATTTATATGGTCAAAAATTGTCCTAATTAAATAATCAGTATATGTTATTATACATTACTGATTTACAACACTTTTATAATACTAGCAATATCATAAACTGTGCGATAACTTACCTTTAATTATAGTTAAATAGCATTTATAGTAAATTTATATATTTAGTAAAAATGGCAATATTTAAATATACAATATTAATAATTATTGTAATTTCAATACATTTACCTCAACCCATAATAGGATCATGGTGTACTTGTATAGATTGTAACTTTGCCTGATTATGTTAAAGTTTATTATAGAGATTAAATTGAAGAAAAAAAAATGTAATTTAGAGAATTTGTAATTCACTCTTTTCCATTTAAAGCAATACTAACCTTTGTTAAATCCAAAAAAAAACAAAAATAATAACTTTGAAATTTTATTTTATCTTTAAGCTGAACCATAAGACCAAATACCTGAATCTAATTTTTACCTCTCATGCAACTAAATAGCTTTAAATTGACATTTTTAATTAGAATGTTAAAGGCTATGTTATAAATTTATTCTCCTTATCAAGTACCATCATCCATAATTTATAATTATACTGATAATTTCAAATTAAGTATTTGAACCAACAAATATTATATAATTTAGTAAATACATAAAAAATAAATCTTACATTGTAATAAAATAGTTTGCATTCGACGTTTAGTGAGATCTTTCAAGTTTTGAAGTTCTTCTTCAAATTGATTTTTTTCAGATAATAGACGGCGAACATGAGAATTAGTTGACTGAATAATTGAGTAAAAAATATTGACATTCCGTTTGTTACAGTCACCTCTCTCTAACCAAGTGATAACTACTTGAACAGCATTTAAAAATGACACATCGGCTAGAAATTAAAAAAAAAACTATAGTTAATTCATAAATGAATAATCATTTATTTAATCATTATTAAATTATTTTTACTTTTAATCTCTTCACTTATGCTTAGAGCCTTAGCTTCAGTAAAATGTGGTATTAATGGAGGTGATGGTGGAGGATTTGACCGTGTTTGTTGTTGGCGTCTTTCTTCACGCATTAAATGTCTTCTTTTCATTTCCCATTCATATTGATCATCCCGAGCCTGAGCATAATCTACATGTAATCTTGATGCAGATACAAGCTCTTGGCCTTTCATGACTAGGCGATACCCTAAAATAAATTTTAAAGGCTATAAAGTATTAGATAGCTAAAATATTTAATCACAGAAAAAAATATTAATTCTTTAGTTGTATGCATAATATTACGTGATTTTTTTTATTAAGTACCTGATAATTCTAATGCTAAATCTACTGAACACTCATTTTCAAAACGTATGTGACAAAACTTTCTGTTACTTAAACGAATTGTTAATATTTCACCATAATTAGCGAAAATTGATTTCATTACATCTTCAGTAATACTTTCTGGTAAACCACCTACAAAAATTGTACGGCAACCAGGAGGTCTTTCTCTTGAAGTTGGTGGTGGTGCATTAAGAGGTGGTGGATACAAAGTACAATTTTCAAGTTGGATAACACGTTTATCATGCTGAATAACATTAGAATCTGGAGGCCTTTGAGTTGTATGATTTACAATCATTGAAGATGGCGTTGCCATTATATTACTCATAACACCATACTGAAATTTAATTAATTAAGATACCTTTGAATTTCAATAAAAAATTAACAAAATATCTAACCTGTCCCATAAACATAGAAGAATCTACAACATTAATTGGATTCATTATGTTGAAAGGATTGAATTGAGGCATTATTTCATTCCATAAAGGTGATGCTCTAACTGTTACTGGAGGCTTATTAGAAGGTAAACTTGGATCAGTAGACATTTCTATAATTGATGATTTATCTCCTTGTAAATCTCCAAATGGTATTTCTCTATAGATATAAACATTAGATAATAAACACACATGATTTTGAATTAAAAAGAAATTTTAAAGCCTAATATGAGGTTGTGATTTTATAATCCTACTGTCTTATAAAATTTTAATTATTCATATTATAATTTTTTCATTTATATTAAACAAAAATGTTGGTAAATGTATATAATTTATATACATTTAATCAAATTTGTTAATAATGAGCAATAGTTTTGTGCAAATGTGCCCTGACACAGAAACTCAGCTGATTCTATTTTGTAAAGTTTATTGAAAAATTAATTTCTAGAAAGTTTGATTCCATCCATCTAAAGAATAAAGGTTTCTCATAGTTTATAATACAAGTAATAACTTACATATTTCAGGTCTTAAATCATTTTTATAATTATATCATATTTATATTTTCCTTTTTTCAAATATATATAAAAATACACAAACCCTCTTTGAGTTCGATTAACTTGTTCAACAATGCGTTCCCAACGTTCATTTGAACTTCCAAGTTCTACAGGTTTATCCCATCGACCTCTTTTTACATCAGTTGATCGATTATTTTCACCAGAACTAGTAGAATCGGAAAATTTTCTACGTAAAAATGCATCATCTATAAGAGATGTTTTGGATTATTTTACTGCAAATCGAAATAAAAAATGTTTAACTTACAATATGACGCCATCTTCATTGAAATACTCTAAAGCAGTATTTTAACATCGGAATATTTAATGAATTTTTATCGTAGAACTAAAATATCTATAATACATCAAAATTTACAAAAGTAAATAGAACAATCAATTTCATTAATTTTACACATCGTGGAAAACAAAAGATTATAATTTTATTATTGATATCTTTATTGCTATAAAACATATGGTACTGTAGCTCCGACGAAATACTATCACAGATTATAAAATTTGTGATAGTATTTATAAATGCTTTTAATCGCGATTATAAGTGTTATCTATAATCGTGCCCTTATAAATTATTGTGGTTACAACATGTGATTAGTTATAGCTAATTTCAATTTGAATAATTAAAATTACTCTTCTAAAATTCAATTTATTTTATTTTTTCATATTTAGATGAGAAATATCAATTAACCTTATTACTAAATTATTTAAATTACTCTTGAATTCTTTGAATATATTTGATAAATGTTAATATGTTTGTTAAATGGGATGACTTGATGGATATAATAACAGATTATAGTATTAAAAAAGGGCTGATTGAAATATTCAATACTTTGGAGAATGAAAAAAAAGTTGGTTTTTGTTTAAACAATGAATTTATTAGGTATTTGGTTCTTATATTGATTTTACTTCGAAAAATTTACCCTGAATTTTTAAAATGTTTGACATTATTCTCAATTTAAATTTTTTAAATGAAGGGGTATTTATATTAAATAAATTCAATACAATTTTCATAACTAATTAGAAATAATAAGTTAAAATATTAAATTTTAACTTTTTTCTTAATTTTTATTATAAAACAATAACAAATTTTTTAAAATTACAAAAATTTATAAATAATACATAATTATATATAAAATTTATATTTTTTTTATGAGGGTCATTTCTAAGTGTTAAGTGGAAAAGTTATAATTAACAAAATGAGAGGTTTAGTAGATTTATCATATTCAAAATGCTATTAAAGTGTCAATTACTGTCACTTCAAACTAAAATAGAGTTAAAAGATCTTTCATTTGTATATATAAATTTACTATCTTTATTTTTCAGAAACTAAAAATAAATTATGATCTCAATGATAGATTAGGGAAACTTATTGCTAAGTAGTTGGCTATTTGGAATAGCTAAATTGCAAAAAGTATACATCTAACATATTTAAGTTATAAAATTTGTTTTATTACCTTTTATGCTATTTTTATCATGATTGTCTTGTTTTCCAAAATAATTTTATCTTCTTGGTCACAAGTCTTATCTATCATTGACTTCATAATTTCTTTTTAGTTTCTGCAAAAAAATATATAATGAATTTCTTATATACAAGTAGAAGAAGTAATTGAAACAGTAATGTCATTTTGCATACTATTGATCAACTAAATCTTCCATTTTGTTTGTGTACACTAGCTCTATTTAATTAGTACACATACTTAAAAAAAAAAATTATATTGCCTTTAGACATTTTAAAACTTTACTTCCTTGATTACCCTCATACATTTATTTCCTTTAGCACTATAATAACTATATTAAATCTTAAATTATTTATGATTATTTGACTTAGATATGTATCATATTTAGATGTATTTAAATATTTTAATCATAAAACTTAAATAGGATCTATTTAATAGATCTATTTAAACTAATTGGATAATGAATAATGATTTATTATGTATCTTATTATACTATTCAATCCTATATAATAAGTTTTGATGATGTGCATTATTTTAAATCTTATGATCAAGTAAAAAAATTAAAATGTATTTTAGGAATTGTTTGGAACGTTGGTTAGATAGTCCCGAGTTTAATAACAGTTTGAAAAATAACGATACATCAATACAGCTTCGTTTAAAGGCAAATGAAGAATTTAAAAAAGAGAAATGGGTTCTATGTTATAAATTGTATTTACAAGCTGCAAAATTTGCTCTATCTGATAGTTTAGAATTAGCTTTAGCCTTTTCAAATCGGTCAGCAGTTTGTTTAAAGCTTAAGAATTATCATGTAATAATTCAATTATTCTATAGAATGAATATTAACTAAAAAAGTATAATGTTAGGAAACCTTCTATCTGTTCTATCTTTATATACAAATGGTCCAGATCTAGCTGACATCTTTTGTAATTTTTGATCAAATAACAATTAAGCATTAGTTTTTTAGAACAATTTATGTAACGGGAAACCAAAAGTTTTATTTAATTCAGATGTGAAAACAGAAAATAATTTTTTAGGGAAAGGATATTTCACTATTTTTGTTTAATTAAGAGTTATTATTTTTTATAAAGATCACTTTTATAAAAATGATTAACCAATTTGGGGCTGATTATTCCTATGGTATTTCTTAGTATTCTTGACTGATTTCTTTCATATGTCTATAAGAGATTTCAAAATGTTCTTTTGACCTATTCCTATAATGTAAAAATTGTTTGAAAAAATTAGTATAAAGTGTGATTTAGATCAAAAGTTATAAAAGATATGTTTGTTAGATCTATCTTGTATATACTGTTTATTAACACTAGTACACTTGTAAAATTCTATATTAATTTTACATAAAAAATATTATTATTTTAGGGATGTATTTTAGATATTGACATATGTTTTGAAATTTTGAAATCAGAGAAATGCAATATTAAAATATTAGAAAAAAATCGCTTGCTAACAAAATTGATGAAACGAAAAGTTGAATGTCTAACTGAGGCTAAGCAGTATAGATATGCTATCATGTGTTGGCAAGAATTATTAGATTTCTCCAAAAATATTTCTAAAATATCTTTAGATGGTATTAATTAATTTTAATTATTAATATATAGATAGATATTGCTAGAAAATAATTTATTTTTTGTGTTTAGAGAATTTTGTAAATAAATACAATAAATTGTCAAAGAAATTAGAAAATGGTAACATTTTTGATGATCAACCAGTAAATTTTTTACATCCAACACCAAAAGAAGAGTTAATAACAAAAGCGTTAAAGATAAATAATATAAATTTACCATTCAAATCTTCAAAATTAAAACTGTGGTATTTAATATACATTCTATGATTTTATGACTAAACAGTTGAACTTGGGTCTAAGTCATATTTTAATTTGTTGAAGTAAATTAATTAATTAATTTACTTATTTTAAACAATAAATTTAATTTTTTGTTTTATTTGGTGGTTTACTTAACTTATCCAAGAATGTATCATGCTTTGCTGTGCAGGTACCGAGATTCTATTCGATTGAACAGTGCTATCTACATAACACAGTTCTTGTATACCCTATTTTACACAATAAAATTTTTAAGATACAATATTAAACATAAAAAGAGAATATTCTGAAATATTTCATGCATACAAGCCAATTTAATTATTTTAACATTATCTTGTTAAGTTATAACAAAGCTCAAGTTAAAATAGCAATTTAGATAACAGCAAACTTGTTAGATTAAAAATAACCAAATTATTTAGTTAACTATATTGTATTGATCCAAAAATTGACAAAAAATAAATATTTCTAATAACTGTTATATTTGATTGCATATTGGTGATCAATTATTGTAATTAATTCTATTAATCAATTATAAATTAATTATTGTCTATACAGTGTGATTTATTGACATTAAGACTCTCATTATATTTGAAATTATTGAACATTTCAATTTTCATAAAGGAAAATATTGTTTGATCCAAAAAATTCTACAATAATATATAGTTAAATAATTGTTGTTCATCCATTTAGAGAAAAATGACTGAAATTTAATTTTCTTTAATTATAACTTCTATTTTAGTTTAATTATAATAAAAAGGAAATAATTTCAAAAAATTTTATCTTATAATTTTTTTATTTAACAGCCATTCTTCTGTTATTACTTGTTTGTTAGGTTTACAAATTTGTGACCAATTTTCTATTGAATATTTGCTGTTTAGCATATAGTAGTTGTCATTTATTACAGGTACAACTTAATATTATTCATCACACTGAAATCTTATGATTAATAATTGATGACTAATAATAGCATGTATATCCATCCAAGTTTACTCTCATACATTGTTGAACGTCCGGCGTGGAAAATTTTTTTTGATAACTACCATAAAAATAATTTATGGTTAATTGAAATAGATTATTGTAACCTGTATCATAAATACTAAATTAATGATGAATTTGTACTTTAAATAAATCTTATGACATTCTATCCTCAATGAATCACCCTATAGATTATTATATTCTAATTAGTTACTTAATATTTTACATTTATTTATGAAATATGTAGTATTTCTGAAACTAAAGGAAGACATTTTGTTGCATCATCTAAAATCAATTATGGTGAACTTCTAATTTTTGAAAAACCATTTGCATTTGTGTTGTTACCAGATTATTATGAATTATTTTGTTATAATTGTTGTTCATCTTTAAAATTATATTCAATTCCGTGAGTATTTAAAAATATTCAAAAGTTATGAAATTAAATTGTATCATTATTATTATGTAACAGGTGTAATGAATGTAGTACAGTTCTTTATTGTAGCAAAATGTGCCAAAAGAAATCCTGGGAATCATATCATTGTTGGGAATGTAAACAAGGTACATCAATATTTAAATGTATTGGAATTGCTCACCTTGCTCTAAGATTAACATTGAAGACATTATTTTTTAACTCGGAGAATGAAAAAATTGTTAATCTTCTAACTCATATAAACAAATTTAATACATTGGAACTGTATCAATATTGTTTGGTAAAAAAATTTTCTTAGGTAATTTGTAAAATAAAATAATAATAATTATTTTTTTAGACGGCCACACTTTTATTATTGTATTTAAAAAAGAAAACTAATTTTTTTAACCAACATTCCGACAAGAAATTAGATTTTGTTGGAAGTGAATTATTACACCACATGACTAGATTAGTGTGTAATGGTAATGCTATTTCATCTCATATTATGATGGATAATAATATAAATTCAACCTCACAACTCATTGATGAAACACAACCTCGGATAGGAACTGCTATTTTTCCAACTTCAAGCATGTTAAATCATTCTTGCGATCCTAACATACATTCTAGGTAAATTATTAAGTTGGCATAATTATAACTTATCGATAATATATAAATATAGACTTGCATTATTATTGATACACCAAAACATATTGGTAACAGAAATTATATTATCAAACATTTTAGTGCAAATTATTGAATTCTTAAAAATTCTATAAAGATATGATAAAAAGTTATCTTAAAAAATAATTTATATAAGTGAATGGTAATATATGGTTAATATCATTTCTAAAATATTTATTTTCTATATGTAAGAAAAGTAATTTAATTTGAAAAAGAAACAAATTCTACAATATAATTAATATTAGCATTAATAATATAAGTGTTGCACACTGTGCAATGTTTCATTGTTTCAGGTACTAATTTTTTAATGCATAAAGATTCTACCAAAAAAAAAAAACAGGAAATCCCTATAAATTTTAAATGTTGTATTTTAATAAACTATATAAAAATATTTCTTTGGATATTAATTGTACTCAATAAATATAGTAAGCCCTAAAGTTCTTATTATTAGTTAAGTTTTTATTTGTTTTTATAGTAATATATTGAATTATGTGGTTATAAAAGCATCTCGTAATATTGAAATAGGAGAAGAAATTACAAATTGTTATGGTATATTACATTTTTAAAATAATAATTTATCTAATCAATAATAATCAAAGAAATCTATTAAAATAGTTAAAAATTATAGGGCCTAACTTTCGACGCATGCTATTGCTTGAAAGACAAGCAGTTTTAAAAATGCAATATTATTTTGACTGCAAATGTTGTGCTTGTATGGATCCAGTTGCAGATAGAAATTTTAATCTCAGATTTTATGGACTTGTATGTTTATCATGTAAAAAACTAATTAGTGCAACTATATTTGATTTCCAAGATGAATATCTCTTTTGTGATCATTGTTTAAAAAAAATTGAAGCTAATCGTTACAAATGTTTATTATCTAAAGCTGATGAAGTCTATGAGAATGGTAATGTTTTAGATTATGAACAGTATGTATAGAATAATATTTTTAATGAAAATAATCAATGATTTAAATTTTAATAGTTTAGATATTTTAATCCATATGTAAATCATAATCTATCCATTAACTCTTTCACCTCAAATAAAGGTTTCAAATAAGAATCTATACATTTCACAAATTAAATAATATATCACTCATAGTTCTTATGATTTCCTTGGAAACTAGTTTATTTCATAATATTTATAAATTTAAATTTATAGTTAGTTTTATTAAAGCAATAAATTAACAATAACTAATAGTTGTTTAATAAAATCTTATCATAGAGTGACTGTAACTCATTTAAATTCAATGTTTTTATTATTACATTAAATTATATGATTGAATTAGAAAATTTAAAAATAAATGCTTTTAAATTACTAAAAAAAATTTTTAATTTTTCAGCTTTGGTAGAAATTGAAAGAAATAATTCTTCAAAAGCAAGTGATATGCTATTAAATTCTTTAAAAATGTTTACTCAAGTTTTAAATTCTAAAAATCCTAATGTTTTTAAATGTCAAGATGCTTTAGCAAAAAGTTTTGCTATGTCAGGTAATAAAGAACTAGTATAATAAATTATACATTTGTCTAATGTATTATTTTCAAAAATTATTAAAATTAAAACCATACCAAAATTAATGATTATTAATATGTTAAAATTATGGAAGCATTGACTTTTCCTAATATTTTTGAGAATTTAAACAACTCTTTACTCTACAGTTTGTCTTGTAGCAATAGCATAGTTAGGATTTCATAATAGGGGGCCATAGAAAAGAAATCTATAAAATCCATAATTTAAACCTTTTTTTTTTTGCTCATAATTTAATTTTAGAGATAAATATTGTTGTCGATTAGGGATAGGCCATTGAAATTAATTTTAAAAAAGTACAATTTGTTTTTAAGAATGTATATTATGTATTATATACTACATTCAATTATAACTAATGTAAAAAAATATATTATTAAGATTTGTGAATACATTTGTCCTTTATAGAGTGGCTTCTATTTTCAAGTTTTAATTAAAAATACCCAAATCAATTTTAATTTGGCAAAGTGGGGACCAGTAGAAATTTAAATCTGATAGTGATCAACAGTATTATTATAAAATTATGTGAATGTGCACAATGATGTTAAAAAAAAAAAACTAATTTCATTGTAAAATTTATAGTAAAAAAATTTTTTTTTGTTATCACCTTCTTGCACTTTTGTGTATCTAAAATGAATAAAAAAAGAATTTTGAAATACCAATTGCAATTCATAATTGTATTAATTGATTAATTTGCAGGTAATTTTAAGGAATGTTTAGTTTTTTTAGATAAAACTCTCAAGACAATAGAACAACGTTATGGAGAAAATAGCATTGAAGTAGCTTATGAATTAGATAAAATTACTGATATCATGTTAAGTTATCTGAATTTTAAAGAAAACAAGTAAATATAAAATATTTAACATAACTTTTATTAAATTTTTTTATAAATTTGATTATCATTAGTCATCACTAATGATTATGACTTATGATGTTTCATAAATACTTTTTTTTACTAATTTTTATTGTTTAAATATTAGCACGATAATTAAGTTAGCAAAAAAATGTATACATTCATACGTTGAATTTTATATTGTTATATAGGTGTAAGATCATAACATAAGACTTTCAGTTTAATGCATGACATTCCAATTAAATGTATCTATTAAAAAAATTGTTCTATCATTTTTTTAGATTTTTAGTAGAAAAGGCTTTGGCGTTTGTAAAACGAGCTATGAAGATATATTGTGCTCTTCTGTCTGTCTGGGATATACCAAATGATGAATTTACTGTTGTAAACATTCAATATAAACAGAGTTGCTTATTAAAGTTAATTTAAAGAGGCTACTTAAAAAGAATATTTTATTCTGAAATGATGTGCCATAATGTACAATATAATGTGACAGATTAATTGAAAATATATATTATAGAATTCTTATAAACTGATAAAATCATCAAATTAAATTGTAAATTTTAAATTAAATATTTTATTCAAAAAACTCTACAATAATATGTAGTTATATAATTTTTTTTCATCAGTGATAAAGATCTTCACATTAATTTTCTTAAATAAGAACCTCTATTTTTACTGATACGAACACATACGTGATCATATCCCACAACATTATAACGACGACTAGGCTTATATCGTTGACACAGTGACACGCGTATTAACTACAGGAGGGCAGACTGCACACATAAACACTTTTGGAATTCACGGTCACTGTTTCATAATACTAATAGTTGACTTTTTACCATCGTCGCGACCATTACTCTATTGTCTTATATTTAACTTAAATTATCTACCACCGAAATAGTATTTGTGTGTGTCGCCGTCAGCTCCCTGTTGGATTATATCATCTCTAGGTGTCCAGCGGCTTGTATTGTTAATTTACTTGACATACCTAAAAATCTATTATATCGTTGCATAACCAAGATGGTTACATATTATTGTAGTGCGACACTTGGTAGTTCCTCTAAGGGAATATAAATTAAAAAACCCAGCACAGGGGGGTCGCGGCACAGTGGTGACGTGGCATAGTTGGATCAAGTATAATGATATCTGACAGTGATTAAAATCACTATCAAAAAAAAACGCTTCGATGCAAATCTTTAGATAGTGTTTAATTTTAAAAAATTGGTGGATTATTCCAAAAGCTTCATAAACTGCTAGTTCCTTATTAATATCCTGATTAAGA